AGAAGCGAGTATCTCTACCACGAAGTTCTCAGAGCGGAGAAAATTTTGGAAACCACTACATACATGCGTGTGTGCATTAGCATCGACAATGCACATTACAATGCAAACGGCACAAAAGTGCATCCTATTACTAGCGGCCATAAAATGCACATCATTACTGTAGTTCTGTAGTTCACAATAGTGCACAAACACTACTAATACTACATGCCCTAAAGTACTCAATAGTGCATAACACTACTAGTTGCTTTAAAGTGTACAATAATGCCCATCATTACTAGATGCCCTAAAGTACAAGTGCCCTGCCTGCACCAGTGTGAGACCCTCCCATAGTGGAACCAACACTACAGAGGTGTGAAAGGCTAGGTAATGTTAATTTAATTAATTAGAACAAACCTGCTGCATATCTGATTTTAATGTATACATTTTCTGCTGCATTACTTAAAAATGTCCTAATTAAAAAATCAAGTTCAGGAATTTTAATGATATAAATTTGATTTAATTACCTGCTAATTGTTTAATAGCCTGTACACATGTATTTTGTGTGCAGTTGTAATGTTGAGGTTGCTGATGTTTATGAGGTTGCTGATGTTGAGGTTATTGATGTTGTTGTGGATGTTGTAGATGTTGTGGATGTTTTTGATGTTGATGTTATTGATATTGTGGATGTTTTTGATATTAATGTTGTTGATTTTGTGGATGTTGTTGATGATTATGTTGTTGATGTAGTTGTGAATGTTGAGGCGGTCGATGTTGTTGTTGCTGTTGTTGATGTAGCTGTGAATGTTGAGGCGGTCGATGTTGTCGTTGCTGTTGTTGATGTAGTTGTGAATGTTGCTCTTGTTGATGTTGTACACTACAAGCACACCACAACCGAGATGCTATCACCTGTTTGCCAGCTGGTTGACAACACTTGACGTCACGCAGGCGATGACCTTGAGCCGGGCGGAATTCCCGTTCTAGGCCATGACCTTTAAACAACACTCTCAGATCGTAACAAAATAACCCCCCCCCCCCCTCCCCCCAATCGTTCATGTGGCGGTGGTTAGACTTTAGCAGGGCAAATTACAAATTTAAACGTGTGGTAAATGGAGGATAATGGGGAAGGGGTTGCGGGTAGTGGAAGGGGGGTAAACTTAAATCATATGAGAGCTAATTTAAATAATGACAAGATGACAATCACATTTAGCACTTCACAGCTTTCAGCCATTTTCCCCATAATTACATTTTAAGCTCTAATTTAATGTTTTTTTTAAAAAAATCTCGCTTCGTCAGCTTTTTTGTTTTGTTTACGTTAATGCTACATTTTCTGTTTTGTTTTACAGTATTCAACCAATGCGTTTAAATTCTTTTGCCTTTTCCCCCTAAATCAGTTTTAAGATTATGTTAGCGTAGAATAATGGAGGCATTTTTTAATAAAAAAAAGGCACATAGTTTTGTTGAAGTGGCGAAATGTGCAGACATTAGATACTAACGTAACAAAATGTGCAGACATTCGATATTAAAGCGACAAAATGTGCGTACATGAGATTCCAACATGACTAAATGTAACACACTTAAACAGCTGTTCGGTAGCTTTTAAATCGGTCATTCATTGAACTAGAAAAGTGCAGCTCGATTTTTCCCCCTTTCAGAACAAATGTGTTTGTTTTCCCAAAAGTTTTCCGAGAAAGTGGTCACACCTCAGAGGATTGTGAACTGAAGTGTTCCTGTTTGATTTTAGCCAACAATCAGAATCTACTCAGTTTTTCCGTGTTTTCATGGGGGAGTTGTAAATATTGTATTTCGTATCGTACAATGCTGTTACTATCTTTGTTATCAGGGGCTATGTTGGATGAAGGTTAAAACCATCTACCGATGTTAGATTTGGTTTTATTGGGGTGCTAAAGCATCTGAGTTGTGGTGATCATTAGTCAGCATTTCCAACAGCAACAATAATGGACGCTGGAATAGAACTCGTAGGAAGGGGGGGGGGGGCAGAGGTGAAAGATTGTATCGGTATGTAGTGTTAGACGGTCATTGGTAGTAGACGGTCAATGTCATGGTGTGATGGTGGACGGCCAATGTCATGGTGTGATGGTGGACGGCCAATGTCATGGTGAGGTGGTAGACGGCCAATACCATGGTGAGGTGGTAGACGGCCAATACCATGGTGAGGTGGTAGACGGCCAATACCATGGTGAGGTGGTAGACGGCCAATACCATGGTGAGGTGGTAGACGGCCAATACCATGGTGAGGTGGTAGACGGCCAATACCATGGTGAGGTGGTAGACGGCCAATACCATGGTGAGGTGGTAGACGGCCAATACCATGGTGAGGTGGTAGACGGCCAATACCATGGTGAGGTGGTAGACGGTCAATATCATGGTGCGGTGTTAGACGGCCAATACCATGGTGTGTTGGTGGACGGCCAATGCCATGGTGTGGTGGTGGACGGCCAATACCAAGGTGAGGTAATTAATGGCCAAATGTGGCGGTAGACTGTTCAGTGTTGAAGTTGATGATGGTCAACCACGTGGTCCGAATAAGTCAGTTTTTATCTTAGTGTCCGAGTTTTCAACATGACATTCATTACTTGGCCGACATGCGTTTTCGTTAAATTAAAATTAAATCACAAAAAATTAAGTCCACGCATAAAAAAAAAACACCACTTCCCCGTGTAAGAGTGTAATACAATAACACAAGGGGCGTCACTAGGTTTTCTCGAGAAAAAGGGCGGCAACTAACTTTTCCCTATTTTATTAAAATTTGAGACATTATTTGTTTCAATGTCAGATCACTTTAATGATTTCAATGAAATTTTTTTACGAATTAGGTACAGTTATTCTTTTGAAATCGGCGGTCCATGTGGCAGATGAAGTAGAGTTTACCTGTTAACAGTAGACCACGTCGTCCCATTAGTGCACGAATAGCATAAAAGGCGCGGTTTTACTAAAACTGCTTTTAGGTCTTAGTAGGAACTACCCCTCACCTCTGAACAAAACTTTATTACTAAATTGTACGATTCAACTTTTTTGAATGACCATTTTATTTAAATTTTTCTTTCCACTGTTTTGTTATAGTTATTTATACTTGTTATATTTCCAATGTTTTAATTTGAAAGATTCGTATTAATATCCCTTACCCACGCTCAATTAAATTTTAAACTAATTGACAGGTTATCAAAAACTTCACTTAATTGCTTTGATCTAATTTATTTCCGCAATTGAAAAAAAAAACCCAATTGAATTAGTAATTTAAAAAAAATTCCATTGACTCACTATACATTTCTAAAACAACAAGCAACCTCACCCCCCCCCCCCCCCCCCCCCCAAAAAAAAGTCCTTTTAGTTTAGCATAAATGTTACAATTTTTTTTAATCAACCTTTTCTTGAAAGAATATGATACATCATCACGAGTAAACACCGCATGACGAAAAATTTGACCAGTTTCGATCACATGAAAAAAAAAACCGCTTAAAAACCCATTTGACTCATAAAATATTCAACTGATCTGGCACACGATATCGCGAGCCCAAATATATCACTGGCATTCATTCGGGGCCTACGCTTATTTCTGTACCGTATTGTGAAGCATTGAAGTGGATAAAATAACGTTAACAAGGATTTAAGCCGTTATTCGCAAAGAATGAGAATTCCACACCTGCAATTCTCCAGAACCGATCTAGCGTGACGCACCGTGACTGGAATCGTTTGTTGTTAGGTGTGGACTTTGGATCCTGTCACATGCCAATGGAAATGCCAAATTTGCTTCCGGTATCCGCAGGGTCAAAGTCCAAGTGGCGGGAATGTGATAAAACACAGGGAAAATTGGGAAATTGCTGATAAAAAAAATAAATAACCGACGGTATTAAATTAAACACAACGCATCAATAAATAGGGAAGAAATTCCCCCCTGCCGATTCCCTTCTCCTGTTTGTTACCCCAGACCAAGAAAATGCAGTAGGACATTACACATTACCTGTCCATTACTAATTGACCCTTCCTGGTATCTTTTCTAGTGGCGCTGTCATCCTCTTCGAACGGACGAAATAAAAAATAATAATTTATAGAGAAAGTATATCCTTCAAAAATGTTTAACCAGTGTCCGCCCCCTTTGCTGAAAATTTAAGCGCCCCCCCCCCCCCCCATCGAAAATTTCAAGAGCCCCCTCCCCGGAGAAAAAAATGTCTGAAAGAAACACAGTGTTACATATAATAGGGATAATGTTAGGGTCATAGAGTTAGCGTTAGGTTGACAAGGAATACGGTTATTCTGCATTGTGCTAGTTTCCATGTTTGTAGATTGTCTAGGGAAAGTATGAACTACGATTTATTGTGTACTCATTCCCGTTCAGATTTGCTACAGAATGCTTAGGTATTGTTTTGAATAAATTGTCAAGTTTCTCACTACGGATATCACACAGAAGGTGTGTGTGTTTGTGTGGAAGGGGGGGGGGGGGGGATAATTCATCTGGGGACGGATAGGAACACCTTGTGCAAGCCACCAAACATCACCAGACACCAAACAAGATCACCATACAGTGCATTAAATTGGAATCTCCAAGGAAAGAAGAAAGCAGGTTGGCCAAAAAAACTTGGAAAAGACCAGTTAAGTACTGCTAACATCATTATCAAAACACTCTGCATCATTAGCTGACAATATTTGATACAACAAAACATGAAGTTTCACAACCCAAAGACAAGTCAATCTAATTTATTTTTATTTCAATTTATAGGAGATATGCCATGGTTTTTATAAAACCCCTATTTAAATAAATGATATAATAAATATTATGTTACATATTTATATAACAAACTTCAACATTGGTCAACAGCAACAGATAGAGATACAAGATGGTTGCAATTGGAGAGGGGGGGGGGGGAGGTGGGGGTAATTCAGATATGGACAAGCATTATGCTGAACAAATAGCAATACAATCAATCAGCTGAGTAGATGAAGCACACACGACCCACAACAAAACACAGGCACTGATGCACACACTGAACCCACACACTAATCCACTCACTGAACCCACACACTGGTGCACTCATTGAACCCACACACTAATCCACTCACTGAACCCACACACAAATCCACTTACTGAACCCACACACTAGTGCACTCGCTGAACCCACACACTAATCGACTCACTGAACCCACACACTAATCCACTTACTGATCCCACACACTAATCCACTCACTGAACCCACACACAAATCCACTCACTGAACCCACACACTAGTGCCCTCACTGAACCCACACACTAATCCACTCACTGAACCCACACACTAGTGCCCTCACTGAACCCACACACTAATCGACTCACTGAACCCACACACTAATCCACTCACTGAAACCACACACTAATCCACTCAATGAACCCACACACAAATCCACACACTAATCCACTCACTGAACCCACACACTAATCCACTCAATGAACCCACACACTAGTGCCCTCACTGAACCCACACACTAATCGACTCACTGAACCCACACACTAATCCACTCATTGAACCCACACACTAATCCACTCATTGAACCCACACACTAATCCACTTACTGAACCCACACACTAGTGCACTCGCTGAACCCACACACTAATCGACTCACTGAACCCACACACTAATCCACTTACTGATCCCACACACTAATCCACTCACTGAACCCACACACAAATCCACTCACTGAACCCACACACTAGTGCCCTCACTGAACCCACACACTAATCGACTCACTGAACCCACACACTAATCCACTCACTGAAACCACACACTAGTGCACTCCTTAAACCCCATTAATTTACTCCAAAATGCCCAACCACCTGTACTTATATTAACCATACAGATTCACCCTTTAGTAGATTCCTATACACAAACATGCCATTTTCAGATACCATTCCTAACTATATCCAGCACATTTCAACTCCTCACATACTCTTACACTTGTACATAAAAACACAAATCCATACAACATAAGAACACATTAAAAAAGTGTTAAAAGTTACAAACTAAATGTATAAGTACTATAAGTGATAAAATTTAAAAAAAAAGAACACCTTTTTTTGTGTAAACGAGAGAAGTAAAAAAATAATATTCCACACAGATTCAAATTGACTCAGTTCACGACAAATGTATAATAATAAAACAACAAAAGAATAAAAAAAAGAAACTTACATTACAAAAAAATGTGTTTGGTGAAAGTTTAGAAAATGTTGCTGAACCAATGCTACATTGACCTTTACATCACGCCCTCACAAATGTAAATATAACAGCAGTCAGCACCAAATAACTAGATGTTTTCACTTTACATCAGCTTTTAACCTTTACTGTAAATGGTAATTTGAATCTCATGAAATCTGGTACATATTACAGGTTCTCAATGGCATGGAACGTTCCTATTAGAGGTTCTCAAATTAAAATATCCAGCACGCTGTCAGATCTAGCCTTGGCCAACATGCCAAACTATTCACAAAATAAAAATTGTGTACAAAGTAAAAAATGTGATAACAACACATGTTGTTACTTCAAGTGTAATGAAGATATAAATAATGTATCACAAAGATATTCATGGTGCATGTGAAATCAAACCAAAAGTGCGGTCAGCTAAAAAAATTATGTTATAAAAATATTGTTTGAAACCAGTGCAAAATTATGAGTGCAATTGGAACATTAGAACTTGTATGATTGGTACATGTATGATTGGAACATGTATGAATGGAACTTGTATAATTGGAACAAGTATGATTGGAGTATGGATGACTGGAACTTGTATGCTAGTAAATATAAACATATAGATTAGCTGTCATCAATCACGTAATACTGGAATAGGCTAAGGAATTTTTAAAGGACATAAAGAATGCAGACATACAGAACACATCAGTCTAAATCTGTCCCTTGGTCCTACATTAGTTTTATATTAAACTATTCTTTAAATGCAACTAACAGCGGATGAATTATATCATACATGGAGTGATCTATAACTACTTGTAACTTTTTACATTCTAATATAACTAGTAGTATAAGTTCAATAATAGACTGACAAAAGGAAATATTTTTTGACCTAAGGTTTTTGTTTTTTCCTCAATGTTATGTCACCACACATACTGAGATCATTCAGTAAAATTTGTTCAATATGGCCAGGAAACACAATGACCCATCACACACCTTGGCCATTACCATATGATCATTCAGTAAAATTTGTTCAATACGGCCAGGAAACATAATGACCCATCACCCACAAATACCACAAAATGACAACTAAACCAATAACACTAATACCCATAACACACAATAAAAATTTAGAACCAGCAAAATATAACCCCTAACATAACAACAAAAGCGAATTTAGAAATATAAATCCTAGGGGAGACAAATGTGGAATTTAAAAAAAATAAAACCCAAGGGTAAAATCATTTCTTAACATATAAGGGGAGATAATCATGATAATCTTTCAAATCTAGACAACACAAACATTAAAGACAAAATGGTGCGAATGGAAATGAATGCTGCTTATTGTTTGCAGGACAAAAACCCCATCATAAATTAAAGAATTTATCATCTACTAATTAAAGAAATCTAAATCTTATCAATTGATTTAGGCATAGTGGATGAACAGGGTAGACAAATAAAGTAATATTTTGTTTAAACACCTGGTAAGACTGGTTCAACAGGTCAACACTGGGTGACTGATGACAATGACTACAGTAAGTCAACTTGGCTGACTTATGACCATGACTTTAAAAAGTCAATTTATAGGGTGACAGGTGACAATGACTACAGTAAGTTAACTTGGATGACTTATGACAATGACTTTAATAAGTCAATTTATAGGGTGACCGGTGACAATGAATTTCAAGAGTCAACCTGGTTGACTGAAGACAATGATTTCAATAAGTCAACTTGATTCGATGTTATACCAACAACAATGACTTTTAAAAGTCAACTCTACTGACTTTTAACAATGACTTCAATTAATCAGTCCACTGGGTGACTGATAAAAATGACTTCGACACACAAGATGACTGAAGACAATGATTTCTATAAGTCAACTTGATTCGATGTTTAACCTACAACACTGACTTTCACAAGTCAACTCTACTGACTTAATGACTTCAATAAATCAGTCGACTGGGTGACTGATAAAAATGACTTCCACACACAAGATGACTGATGACAATGACTTGAAGACATGACCTCTGGTGACCATGACAAGCAGTAAAACAAAGCTAGCCCACGACTGTCGTCAGCTAACCACGGGAATCTGCTGGCCGATATATTTCATATCAGACTTGACGTCAGGTGATCTGGAACTCCAGGCCACGGAGCTGCACAGGTCTAAAGTCTGGCACTCGGGGTGTGGCTCTAGGACGCAGAAATTCTGCGCCACCCAGAAAAGTCTGGTCAACGAGTCCACCCACTGTTCGAGTTCCGTCCCATTTTTTTTACTATTGACGACAGCCTCCTCTTGTAGCTTACGATCAACTGTTAATTTTAAATTTGGAAGAAATTCCGAGAAGTCTGTTGTCGTGTATAACCCAAGTGGGCCCTGGTGTGCTTTAGTTATCTCTGAGGTGGGGATGGGCTTGTTGTTTAAAAAGGTCAAAGGTGACACCAGAAACTGGGTCTGGGCCACCAGCTCCAGGTTGACCATGATGCACGCCCTCCACACGCCCGGCCGGAGCGGTTTGTTCAGCAGCGGCTTCTGGTTCCCCACGTGGCTGGACCCGGGGATGACAACGTCGTAGGACGCTGCGATTTCGTTGGTTGGGTCCACCCAGGCTATCGAGACGGTGACCTCGGCCCCGTGGCCCCACTCGTGCCGCAGGCTGATCTCATCGTAGGGGCCCATCAGGTTGCCATAGTTACGGAATATCATCTCCTTGACATCAAAGTCTGTGCTAACCTGTGAAAGAGGCAACAGTATTGTTTGATTAAACATTGTCAATCATAATGTTGGGGGTGGGAGTCACTGGTGGCACTATTTATTTTACTACACAGCAATACCATTAAAATCTAGCTTTATAATTGAAAAAATGCCAGAAAGTGTATTTGAGGAAAGTTATCAAACCATTTCTGTCAATACTTCTGATTTGAAAATTGCCACAAACTTTATTAGATAAATACTCTATAACTTTTAACAACTATTTTTTAAAGCTAATTTAAATTTGCTTTAAATTTATAAAAAGACATCACTTAAATTTATTATTTTAACCATTTATAGGCCACTTAACATAATGATAATCCATAGCAGTCATTTTAATTTTGCTTATTTTTACCCAAGGTCACAGTAATCAAGACTCACCACAAAAAAATGACACCATAACATTTCCCCACACAAGTTAACTACAATTTTAAATACAATGCACATTTTTAAACATTTTTATACCCCTCTCCACCATATAATGTTGTAAACTAAAGTGAAAACCCCTTGACTCCTTGGGTTAAAAAATGTCATTTTTATACAACTCCAACAAATAAACAAAATACTCTTAATTTTCTTTGTAAAAGAAAGGCTTCCTACAAATACCCTACCTGGCTTCCACCTACATACAAATACCCACCCCCTCCTTTGCTTATACCTGCCCCCCCCCCCCCCCTTAATATAAATACCCCACTATTTGCTCATTCCTATAAATATCCTGTTCCTCCTCCATACAAATAACTTTCTTTGAACTTACATACTAACAACCTCCTTTAAACCTACATACAAATACTTTCCTTTAAACCTACATACTAACAACCTACTTTAAACCTACATGCTAACAACCTCCTACAAACCTACATACTAACATCCTGCTTTAAACCTACAGCCACATACTAACAACCTCCTTTAAACCTACATACCAACAACCTCCTATAAACCTAAAAACAAACCTCCTCTAAACCTACAAACAAACAACCTCCTATAAACCTACAAATACCTCTAATGAGAGCAGCCTTGAGTGTCCAGCAACTGCCTCACGCGTGAAATAATCCTTGGGCTCAGCATACGCCTCCAGGGTCACGACCTTGTTGGTGTCCTTCAGGCGGGCGGAGAAGAGCACAAGCAGACCATGGAGGTGGTCAGCCTCGTTGTAGATGGTCACTTCAAGGAGCTGCAGGGGCGCCAGGTCACATCTAGCCTCGTTCTGACAATAGGGATGGGATAATTGGGTCAGTTAGCCTCATTCTGAGGGGGACAGGGTGGTCTAGTGGTAGAGAGCTGGAGTGCTAACCCGTAAGTATCGAGTTCGAATTCGGGTTCAAGTCAGTAGACCGTCCCTGAGTCCACCCAATACTGATGGGTACCTTACCCACATTAGGGAAAGTAAAGGCGGCTGGGCATAGTGCTGACCGCACTATCTCTTCATATGCCGAGGTCACAGAAACAAGTGAACTCTACTTTACTTGCCCTATAGACTGTCAGGCTTGAAAAGGGAACTTTTTAGCCTTATTCTCACAATAGGGATGGGATAATTAGGTCAGTTAGCCTCAATCTGTCATAAGCAAAGAGAAAATTAGCCAGTAAGCCTTTTTTTAAAAAAAAAGATGGAAGGTTGCAGTTAACTTTAATCAGATCTCAGACAGAACTACCCAAATTAATACAAATGATAAATTAAAATAATGGTAAAAAAAATCAAGTGGTAGTAGCAGCACATTTTTGTGTGTGACCCTTTTTTATGTTAAATATTTTAAGCACACTTAAGATTAAAACGTTAATATCAACTGTGAGTAGAGTAAAATCACCTGCTTAATCTGGGTGACAAAACTTAAAATTAAAACATAACTATCAACTGTGAGAAGCATATAATCACCTGCTTAAGCTGAGCGACTGCCAGACGCTCCAAAGACACGTAAATGGTGAGCGCAGAGTCCTTCACCTTTGTCTCTTGGTCTAAGTGGTGGAAGGCATTCTGCCAGTAGCTGGACAGGCTGTGTACACCTGGAGACATAGTGACCAAACAGGTGAGCCATAGGGCAACATGGTGATCCCACAAGTAAACTATAGGGCAACATGGTGATCCCACAAGTAAACTATAGGGCAACATGGTGATCCCACAAGTAAACTATAGGGCAACATGGTGATCCCACAAGTAAACTATAGGGCAACATGGTGATCCCACAAGTAAACTATAGGGCAACATGGTGATCCCACAAGTAAACTATAGGGCAACATGGTGATCCCACAAGTTAACTATAGGGCAACATGGTGACCATTTAGATAAACAACAGGGTAACATAGTGACCATACAAGTAGCAATAGAGCAACATTGTGACCATACAAGTAGCAATAGAGCAACATGGTGACCATACATGTAGCAACAGGGCAACATGGTGACCATACATGTAGCAACAGGGCAACATGGTGACCATACATGTAGCAACAGGGCAACATGGTGACCATACATGTAGCAACAGGGCAACATGGTGACCATACATGTAGCAACAGGGCAACATGGTGACCATACATGTAGCAACAGGGCAACATGGTGACCATACATGTAGCAACAGGGCAACATGGTGACCATACATGTAGCAACAGGGCAACATGGTGACCATACATGTAGCAACAGGGCAACATGGTGACCATACATGTAGCAACAGGGCAACATGGTGACCATACATGTAGCAACAGGGCAACATGGTGACCATACATGTAGCAACAGGGCAACATGGTGACCATACATGTAGCAACAGGGCAACATGGTGACCATACATGTAGCAACAGGGCAACATGGTGACCATATAGGTAGCAATAGGGCAACATGGTGACCATATATGTAGCAATAGGGCAACATGGTGACCTTACAGGAGAGCAATAGGGTAACATTGTGACCTTACAGGTGAGCAATAGGACAGCAGTGACCACTCAAGTAAACATTAGGACAACATTGTGGCTACAAAGGTAAAAATTAAGAAAATGTGACTACTCAGGTAAATTATAGGGCAACACTTACCACTTAGGTAAACAATTGGGCAACACACTGACATACAGGTAAGAAACGCACATTACACAACACACTTGACACACTCTATAGGTAGACCACCCAGGGACCACACAACACTACCTGGATATTGAAAGCCATGAAAGGTCACATCCACAGTGTTGATTATTTCCTGGTCAACAATAGCCTCAAACTTGCGGGCAAAAAACATGGGCTTCTTGTCGTAGTGCTGGCAAATAAAATAAAAGAAAACAACAAACCAAGTTAATCTTGAGTGTCTCTGCTAATACTGCTATAATATCCATAAATTTAAAATTGGCATTTGATTATTTTATATTGGTCACATTGATTAGATGTATCTTACAAGTACATATCATATGTTAAACATGATTTAAAAAATTCAAGTTACATTATAAATTTAAAACAAAAAGGTAAAACTAATTTGTTATCTCTTGAATTATTTTAAAAATATTTCATAGCAATGTTTTGTAAAAATTTATATGCTCAAAGCTATTTGGTTTTTTAATTATTTAAAAAAAAATATTTCATAGAAATTAAAAAAAAAAAAAAAATGGTAAAAGTTACTTTATTTCTTAATTATTTAATAAATAGTTCACATAAATGTTTAGCAAAAGAAAATCTAGCAACAGAGTCAAGTTCAACTGACCAGCAGCCTCTCCGTGTCCGTGACCTTGATGTCATTGGGTGAGCAGCCGCACCAGTCGACAATGTGCTTGTACTGGCACTTACAGCCCTGTTTCCTGCGCCAGTTGGTCAGGTGAAGGTTGTTGTCTACGGACTGGGAGCAGAACATGCTGTTCTGTAGCACCATGTGGAAGAATGACTGTGGACGTAATTAGATGAGGGTTTAATTAGTCAAGGTTTAATTAGATGATGGTTTAATTAAATAGTAGATGAGGGTTTTTATTTAAATAATTAGATGAGGGCTTAATTAGATGAAGGTTTAATTAGATGAGGGTTTAACTAGTCAAGGTTTTAACACCATATGAAAGATAGACTGCGGACATAATTAGATGAGGATTTAATTAGATGAGGGTTTAATTAGATGAGGGTTTAATTAGATGAGGGTTTAATTAGATGAGGGTTTAATTAGATGAGGGTTTAATTAGTCAAGGTTTTAACACCATGTGGAAGACAGACTGTGGACATAATTAGATGAGGGTTTAATTAGAGGAGGGTTTAATTAGTCAAGGTTTTAACACCATGTGGAAGAAAGACTGCGGACATAATGAGATGAGGGTTTAATTAGATGAGGGTTTAATTAGTCAAGGTTTTAACACACATATATAAGTAACATTCTGCAATTCGAAAACAAAATATAGACATAAATTGAAAGACATAAAATAAATATTGGTAGGCATCAAATCACCTAATAAATAAAAAAACTGGATCAATATATTGCCACACACAGCAGTTATCTTTTTCCATGGCCTGACTTATTCTGTTTTACAAGCAGGAAAAACATCTTTACATGCATGATGTGACAAAACTTCCACATTAAAACTGTAAAGTTCTATATTTCTATGTCCATCCACCCACCTCAACAGGCAGCAGTGAGTACTTGTAGTACTGTTTCAGGCCTGCCACCAGCTTGTCCTTGGAGTAGACAGCGTATCTGGCAAACTCGCTGAACAGACCCACCCAGTCGCTACCACCATCAAAGACGACCCCTGATGGTAGGGGTCGTGGTGCCACACGCCACAAGTGGTCCTCACACTCATGGAATGTCTGGTCCATGCCCTGCTTCTTTATGAACCTGAAGAAAAGTTTATTTTGATATAAATTAATATTTATATACCTGAAGAAAAGTTCATTCTGATAAAATTAATCTTTATAAACCTAAAGTTAGTTTCGATAAAATTAATCTTTATAAACCTAAAGTTAGTTTCGATAAAATTAATCTTTATAAACCTAAAGTTAGTTTCGATAAAATTAATCTTTATAAACCTAAAGTTAGTTTCGATAAAATTAATCTTTATAAACCTAAAGTTAGTTTCGATAAAATTAATCTTTATAAACCTAAAGTTAGTTTCGATAAAATTAATCTTTATAAACCTAAAGTTAGTTTCGATAAAATTAATCTTTATAAACCTAAAGTTAGTTTCGATAAAATTAATCTTTATAAACCTAAAGTTAGTTTCGATAAAATTAATCTTTATAAACCTAAAGTTAGTTTCGATAAAATTAATCTTTATAAACCTAAAGTTAGTTTCGATAAAATTAATCTTTATAAACCTAAAGTTAGTTTCGATAAAATTAATCTTTATAAACCTAGAAAGTAAGAAATTGTTCCCTGTGACACATTATGCTTTCACCATTTTTATAGATAGAGTAGGTGAGGTATTTAAGTCTACTGGCAAAGTGCTGACTACATAATCCCCTTACAAGCCAACAAAAGAACTTCACTGGAGCATGGTCTGAAAGGGTGCTGTACTAACTAAAATATCTTGTCATACCTAAGTTGTTTCCCTTGATTGACTTACCTGGGAACATTCTTGCCAAATGACCTGAGGAAGTTTAACCCCTTGTATGCTGTCAGATACTCCACCAAATCTTGTATGGGCCTGTCAATGACAAGGTTCAGTTAGAGATTGGGATAAAGATCTATCATAAACATTTGGTTGTGTGTATAATTTGACCTGAGTTTTATTTTGATGTTTGTGACTGACCAGATTATGTGTAAAACATATTGATGTGTTTGCAATTATAGTTGTTAAAACTGTGTTTCAACATAATTAGTAACTGTGTCAATGTGTATGGACTAATGTGTAGCCAGTACAGCCAGTGTGTAAGGTTAATGTGTACGGGACATGTTGTAGGACCAGTGAGGTCTATGTGTAAGGTCCAGTGTGTAGTCAGTGTGTAAGCTCCAGTGTGGTCAGTGTGCAAGGTCCAGTGTTTAAGGTCCAGTATGTAAGGACCAGTGAGGTCAGTGTATAAGGTCCAGTGAGGTCAGTATATAAGGTCCAGTATGTAAGGACCAGTGAGGTCAGTGTGTAAGGTTCAGTATGTAAGGTCCAGCATGTAAGATCTAGTGTGTAAGGTCCAGTGTGTGGGGTCCAGCATGTAAGGTCCAGTGAGGTCAGTGTGTAAGGTCCAGTGTGTAGTCAGTGTGCAAAGTCCAGTGTTTAAGGTCCAGCATGTAAGGTCCAGTGTGTAAGGTCCAGTGTGTAAGGTCCAGCATGTAAGGTCCAGTGTGTAAGGTCCAGTATGTAAGGTCTAGTGTGTAAGGTCTAGCATGTAAGATCTAGTGTGTAAGGTCCAGCATGACCAGTCTACTATAACCACTCACTTGACAGGGTAATCACTCTCACTCAGGTTGATGTAGTAGTCCCACTTCCACTTTGACTTGTGCTCAAACAGCTCCCTTATGAAAGACAAGTGGGCCTGGAGCAGGCTAGCCCCACCCCAGATGGTGGAGAATCTATTCTTTGTTAGGTAGATGTTGGAATATTTCTTGGACAAGGGAAGTAATTCTCTATACAAATATTCCTGCCTCTGGAAAAAAAAGAATTTTTTTTTGTTTGGGAATCAAAATTATAAAATAAAGAGTCAAATTTAATATAATTTTTAATGAAATTATAGTGTTCTAATATAATAGACAGTATTTATAATGGCTAAAAAATTCAAATTTTTAACTCGTACCTCAAGGAAGATTATCACGATAAATAATCTTTTAAAAAATAATACAGAATTACTTCTCTTCATAACAATTCTATTATTAGTAAAACAACAAAACTTATTTGATGTTTTGTTCACATGTTAAACAGAATCAATTTTTATATTTTTTTCCCATTCAAACAAAATATAAAAACAAAATTACAAAAACATTTTTTTTTGCTCTAATTTTAAAAACAATCAAAAAACCTTCCATAAAATCAACATAATATTGTTTTTTAAAAGAAAAATTTTCAATGCAACAATTAAACTAACATCCAACTTTAAATTACCTTCCAGGTAAAAGAGACATCTAGATTAAAAAGGAAATACTTTTTGCAAACTACTAACAGAAAATGTTTATTTATTTAGGAATGGCTAGGTGGTGGTGTATAAGACGATTGGGGAAACAATTTAAAAAATAAAATTTTGGTAGTAAACTTTATGGCGTACATTTAGATATTTTCTTAAATCAAGATTTGATTAACTTCGCAATCAAACCTATGATAATATATTAAAAGCATTACTGTGTGTAGAGTTATTAAAACATTGAAAAAATACAATACTATTATACCATTAGTTGAATTTTGAAACTGTTCTGAATTAAATTTTTTAAGAAGTTTGACCTTGAAATGAATTTAATTAAATAAACTGTGACAAATTTTATTTTTGCAGTAAGGGTACACCTTTTCAAAATGAATGTAATTAAACAGATATTAATTAAGTTATATCAAAAGTGAGTCACCTATCCACTATGAATGTAATTAAACAAATCTTAATTAAGTTCTATCAACATTGTGTCACCTTGTCAACATGGATGTAGTAAAAATGGCTAGGGCTGTAGATGACACGCAACAGTCTGACCACCTGACGCAAGGCTCGGCCATTGACCGTCAAGACAAAGACGATTCTCACCCTGGGGTTGTTGGGGGAGATGGTGGGGTGTTCCAGCGGCGCCTCCTGCCTCACTATGTCTGTAGGGGTCAAAGTTCAATGTTACAAGACATATCGCTACAGTACTGGGATATATGCGAAGAATGCAGCCGATTTTTTAAACAGTTAGAGCTAAATAAAATGATACCTTATATATTGAATGATGGCTTGAAAAAAAGATGAAAATTTAGAGTTCTAACAGGACACCCCCCCCCGAGATACTTGCAGTTTTGTTTTTAGATTAATGCCCCCCCCCCCCCCCCTTCTCCCATACTATTTTGATTTCTTAAATATTGTTTTGACAGTAAATATGATTTTTCAATTTGACCTTGAACTCCTGTCCCATAAATCTTGTTGGCCAGGTAAGCGCCGCATGTTTCTGAAGCGTTGCCAGGACATTTGGTGAAGCAGTGAGCCTCGTCCAGCTTCTCCCCATGTTTGCCAAACTCGTTGCCACACCAACACTCCTTGCCAAACTGCAGGGCAGCGTACTTCATGGCTGGGGACAAAAGGGTCCACACAGATCTCGTTAGGAAAGATAATTAGCGAGATCACCTTCAGCAATTAGTAAATGGGAATTAGCAAGTTGCTGACATATTAGGGATTTGCTTTAAAAAAGAAAGAGATAGAGAGTGATAAGAGAGTGGGAGATGGAGAGAGAAAGGAGAAAAAGGGGGGAGAAGTGTATGAGGGGTTAGTTTTATTGAGATGGTTAAAATGTTTAAGAAAGTAAACACTCAAATTACATGAACAAAAAAAAAGCAGCAGATGAATCAATAGGTAAAAAAAACTAAACATTTAAGATTCCGGAAATCCAGTAAATTAAATATTATTAAATATTTTTAAATGGAAAATTTAAGAACTCTGAGATATGTTTATATTAAGTTGGTTGTTGTAAACAACTTATATTGGAATAAGTGATGGTCTGATGAATGAGAGATAGCAGTACCTGATCTGAAGCAGTGGTCTATACACTTCTGTGGGGTGTTGTCCATGAAGTCCACCATACCACCATCTAAGTCACGGGATGCCATGCTGTCTCTGTAGCAGCCATAGTAGTGGCCAGCATCAGTGCCTGGAAGAGAGAACAATCTAGGTGAGAGGATGTGAGGTATAGAGCCAGCAGCCGTAGTAGTGGCCAGCATCAGTGCCTGGTAGAGAGAACAACTAGGTGAGAGGATGTGAGGTATAGGGCCAATCTTATCAAGCAACAAACTCACTTCATTTGTGATGTTGGGCTTTCATAGTAGGTGGCGGAGGAAGTAGGTGCTGGTGGAGCAGGTAGGTGGTAGCACTGTGGTGGAGGATTGTGGTGGAGCAAGTAGGAGCTAACATTATGGTGGAGTAAATAGATGCTAGTATTGTTTTTGTGCAGCAATTATGTGCTATTATGGTGGTTCACCAAACATACATCAAGTCAAATCAATTCATTATATTTGTATGAAGTTGTATATTTTACTTGCATGACTGGGTCGCAAAGACTATTGACTCAAGATAAGTGAACAGTTTAATACTTACTGCAATACATAAAACATAACAATCAACATCTCAAAGTATGCTAGAATAAAATCGTTTATTTCAATCATCTCTACTGTATCTCACTCTCTCTCCCCCCCCCCCCCCACGTAGCACCCCTCACCTATTCCTTGCACTAATTAGAAAACAAATATTTATATAGAAATTATAAACTTTAAACCCCGAGAAAATATAGGGGGAGGGGGAACCCTGAAAATAAAACATCTGTTACATAATGTCCTCAACTACATATAACATATGGTGTAGGCGCCAACATGAACTTCCATTAAAGCTTGACATTGTTTAAAGCAGGCCAAAATGTATTTGGAGTCTAGAAATAATTTATCTCAATTCTTATGAACAGATTCATTTAATTTAAGGCTGTCGCATTTGTAAGAGATTAATTCTTTGCACTCAGCAAATGTAGCGATAGTGTGCTCAGCACTCTGATCAGTACCTTCACTATCCCCACCTAGCAAGAGCTGACGGAACTACCATACCAGAGGCGTAGCGAAACCTCCCGGCGCCCGGGACAAACTTTCAATTTGGCGCCCCCACCATATATTTATAATTCAAAATAGCAGCTAAAATGAGCTTATTTAGGCGCCCCTAGCGTCGGCGTCCGGGGACATATGTACCCCCCCCCCATCGCTACGCCTCTGTACCCTACAGTATATAGAGCCCGGTGACCCGACAAGATGCTTCTGAGCTACGTGTCACATTGTACCTAATCCTCGTGTGTGTAGGCATACGAATCGTTCTGAATAAGATCGTGCCTAATTAACTCCTAATAAAGCAGCTGTCATAATTTGAATGAATGGACCGCAATAGAGGATTTGTTACAGGATTTGCTTACATTGTTACAAGTTAATGTTACACTCCGGCTTACCATACGGCGCTATTTAGTGACGGCTGAAGACTTGAAAGACACAGTTGTCCAAATGGGGTGGGTGGGTACACACTGTTGCGCATGCCTAGAGAGCGAGGGAGGGGCGGGAAGGGGGTTAGACAGTCGGTGTGGGTGCGTGGTGTCCTGCATGGTTGGGCGACAGAGAAATCTATCTATCTACCTATCTATCTACCTACCTATCTATCTATCTATCTACCTATCTATCTACCTATCTATCTACCTATCTATCTACCTATCTATCTATCTATCTATCTATCTATCTATCTATCTATCTATCTATCTATCTATCTATCTATCTATCTATCTACCTACCTACCTACCTACCTATCTATCTATCTATCTATCTATCTATCTATCTATCTATCTATCTATCTATCTATCTATCTATCTATCTATCTATCTATCTATCTATCTATCTATCTATCTATCTATCTATCTATCTATCTATCTATCTATCTATCTATCTATCTATCTATCTATCTATCTATCTATCTATCTATCTATCTATCTATCTATCTATCTATCTATCTATCTATCTATCTATCTATCTATCTATCTATCTATCTATCTATCTATCTATCTATCTATCTATCTATCTATTTATCCATCCATCCATCTATCTAGATAGATAGATAGATGCGTTGTTTCTAGACTGAATCATTTATGTGCAGTGTAGAGCCTAGTTTGTGAATAACTGATATGGTGAGCGTAAGTAAGTTAAAGTCCACTGGTCTGTAAATAACGTACCAACAAGTGACAGTTGAACAATAAGACGCGATTGGTGCGATTTGGTAACAAAAGTTTTATTTTAGCTAGCTTGTAAATTAATTTCACGTTCATGGGTTATTTGCTACTTTAATTTTGAATATTATTTTTTTTCCGCTGACGATAGTTTTAACTTTTTAAAGCCATATATAGCAAGTCAAATAAATTTGTATACATAAAATCTCATGTTAAAATATGAGTCACATTTGCGCTAATTCTATGCACAAAGTAGATTTGTTTCTTACATATATGTCAGAAAAAAAAAATGCCGCATTAAATAATCTTTTCTCAATTCCTACCTTCATTATTAGCGAGGAAAACGCAACATTGTAAACAAAGGTTAGTTGCTTGAAAAATGACATGGCCAACAACAACGTTTTATTTACTAAGTCTGCACCTATCTGATGTGAAACATCAAACTAAACAAACATCTCGCTTCAACGTTCCCCCTAAAGGCAAAAAAAGCTAGTGTGCTACGTATAGTTTGTGTGCGCGGTGTTTTAAAAGTATTATATATAAGGATATATTTATTTTACAAAATGAGTGCGCGACAGGTTCAAAACTACTGCGCGTCCGCGCAACCGCGAGTAAACATTGCGCCCCTCCATTTTTATTACATCCATGTTGACAAGGTGACACACTTGAATTTTGTGTCCACTGTGGAGTGTTTAAATTCGGGGACCTTGGGTGCTGCCATGTCACCCCCCCCCCACCAGTCTAATCTCATTCCACCATTGCTCTCATGTAATGACTCCTCACAAACTATGTAAAAGTTGTTTTACATAACGGGGTTGTTTACATTTTAACGTGCTCAATCCGAACGCCACAACACACTCGACTGACATTAAGTGCACGTGATGACAGGTGACATCCCTTGGTTGAGTGGCGTCCGTACAGGTGCGAGTGACAGACACGACATACAACATACACGACATACAACAGACTCGCCAGACACGACATACAACAGACTCGTCGGTCGACAGACACGACATACAACAGACTCGTCGGTCGACAGACACGACATACAACAGACTCGACATACAACAGACTCATGTTGACAGACACGACATACAACAGACTCGACATACAACAGACTCATGTTGACAGACACGACATACAACAGACACGACATACAACAGACTCATGTTGACAGACACGACATACAACAGACTCGACATACAACAGACTCATGTTGACAGACACGACATACAACAGACTCGACATACAACAGACTCATGTTGACAGACACGACATACAACAGACACGACATACAACAGACTCATGTTGACAGACACGACATACAACAGACTCGTCGGTTGACAGACACGACATACAACAGAATCGTCTGTTGACAGACACGACATACAACATAATCGTCGGTTGACAGACACGACATACAACAGAATCGTCTGTTGACAGACACGACATACAACAGAATCGTCGGTTGACAGACACGACATACAACAGACTCGTTGACAGACACGACATACAACAGACTCGTCTATTGACAGACACGACATACAACAGACTCATGTTGCCAGACACGACATACAACAGAATCGTCTGTTGACAGACACGACATACAACAGAATCGTCGGTTGACAGACACGACATACAACAGACTCGTTGACAGACACGACATACAACAGAATCGTCTGTTGACAGACACGACATACAACAGAATCGTCTGTTGACAGACACGACATACAACAGAATCGTCTGTTGACAGACACGACATACAACAGACTCATATGTTGCCAGACACGACATACAACAGAATCGTCTGTTGACAGACACGACATACAACAGACTCATATGTTGCCAGACACGACATACAACAGAATCGTCGGTTGACAGACACGACATGCAACAGACTCGTTGACAGACACGACATACAACAGAATCGTCTGTTGACAGACACGACATACAACAGAATCGTCTGTTGACAGACACGACATACAACAGAATCGTCTGTTGACAGACACGACATACAACAGAATCGTCTGTTGACAGACACGACATACAACAGAGTCGTCTGTTGACAGACACGACATACAACAGAATCGTCTGTTGCCAGACACGACATACAACAGAATCGTCTGTTGACAGACACGACATACAACAGAATCGTCTGTTGACAGACACGACATACAACAGACTCGTATGTCTATAAGCACTCAGTAAACAAGCCCTTGTTTTCCTGTACTGTTTCATCGTTGTTGTTTTTGGAAAAAATAGCCTATGTACAGCTTTTAATATTTAACCTGTGTGTACATGACAACCTGTACACAAGTCAGGTGTCAGTGTGACTCGCATGACTCCCAATGGCACTGACGCAACTGTTGCGTATCAGTGGTTATTATGCAAGGGGAAACATTATTTTCAACAGCTTTATAAAGCCAAATAAGCCACTAAAAGAATTTCATAATAAATATAATTATATTGAAATACTGTTGCTTCTGCTTTTTTGGGTCATATGCAGACGGAGACTTTAAGACCTAATTAAGCGACTGGCTCAAATAAGTGAAATAGACTTTAAAATTATGTCCCAATAAGCTTGCCTAATTAACTAATTAAACACATTACGCGGAACTGATGGTATTTACAAAGGTAAGGTAAAACTAAGCAAAGAAAATTACCTCTATTGGGGCAGTAATTGGGCAACTTGAGGGTGTAAAGTGTACCGTTCTGCTGCCGGCAGAAGACGTCAGCAATCTCCTGCTTACACTTGGCTGTTTTGGCGCGGTTAATTGCAGACGACACATCCTTGGCGCTGACGTCACACGATGGAATGTACTGGGGGAGCGAGGCCGGTGCGGCGGTGTGGGGGGAGTCCTGGGGAGGTTCGTTGTCTCGGACGTACACGTGCGTGTTGTCGTCGTTCTGGGCGTGAGCATCGTCTGAAGGCACTTGGGGGGCGAGCCCGTGGGGTAGGGGGTCGCCAGGCACTTTGGGTGGGATGTTGGAAGTCTCAGGTAATGCTGGGTCGTTATGATGGGGTGGGGGTTCGTTCTGTTGGGGTGGGTGGTCGTTGTTTGGGTGGTCTAGACCGTTGATGACAGGCTGGTTCATGGAGCCGGTGTCCCTGATGACGTTATGCTTGACGTCATCAGGCGCTGCGTGGGGCGGTCCTTTCCCGCCATTGGTTGATATCCTTTTGTCGTTGATGGGTGAGTCTTGTTTGTTCAGGTTCTGAAAAGATTAATTAGTACCGTTAAACTAATTAAGTCAAACATGTATTAGCGTCTGAAAATAAATGTGTATTTGAGTGAATGGGTAAGTCTTGTTTGTTCAGGTTCTGAAAAGATTAATTAGTACCATTAAAACAATTAAGTCGAACATGTATTAAGGTCTGAAAATAAATGTGAATTTGAGTGAAGTAGAACTTTTAAAAACATTAAGTCAGACAGTAATCCTTTTAGGTTCTTACAAATCAATTTAATAAAGACGACTTTTAACGTAACATTGTATATTTTTGGTCAACACAAATGCCTTGTTTCCAAAGAAAACAGAAAACCTACAATACCATTATGTTTAAAAGTCTTTGAATTATTGATCAATAAACAATAAATAAATAAAAATGGTTTGGTTTTTTTTAATTGAAATATTATATAATATCTGTTTTTTCTAGTTTGTTTTTGACAAATTATTTGTAAACATTGTAGCTCTTATCTAGATCTACACTTGCAGCCAGTGAACGCCAGTACCCGACGTTTCCTCTGCGATGTTAAAGAGAAAAAAAAAGTTAATTCAAATAAAAAACGCAATATCGCAAGCCGAAATTAGGCAAGATGACAGGAGAGACTCAGACACGCCCCTCCCCTACCCCCGCGCCCTTACCGCCACTTCTAACAACCTAGTCTGGAACCCCGAAGAATCGATGGGACGCCAAATATGAAAATCATGTGTCTAGATTAGGCGGGATACTGGTCAGACAGACAGACCGCGACCTAGAGCGCACAAAGATAACGTGGGATGCAGGCGGGATGGATGACTTGCTCACACCACATTAGGCCAGTGGCCACACCAATGAGTGGCCCCGGAGACCCCAATTTAACGCGGCCACACAGGCGATGACGTTTCATTTGGAGCCATCCTTCACACTGGGGTAATGAGACACAGATCATTTTTGTAAGCGCTTCGTCATTCTGCTGTCATTTAAGATGGTTTTATCATACACACTTAATCACGAGTAGGGACCATCTTTTACATGTATGTATGTGTGTATATATATGTCTATATCCACCCACCCACCCACCCTTCGTCGATCGATCAATGGATCTCTCGACCTGTCATTCTGTCTGTCTGTCTGTCTGTCCGTCCATCCATCCATCCATCCATCCATCCATCCATCCATCCATCCATCCATCCATCGATCCATCCATCCATGCATGCATGCATGTATTAGCACACATATGCATACACACATACTTAAATCCACACATGTATAATTACATACACATACAATCTAAGCGGATAGTTTTTTGGTATTCCTACAATTATGGCCAAATGTACGAATGCCACACATGGCCAAATGTGTCACTGCCAATCAAAGCCACGGCCAAATGTGTCTCTATAGCTTCTCTTGTCCAAAAAAATGATTCAGCCAATTACGACTAAACCTGTTTCTCAACATTTCTGACAATTTATATTGATAATGGAGTGCAATTATTTAAATCCTTGAAGAATGTCCTTAAACTCATTACTATACAAATTCATTTACTTACTCCAGTGTCTAGACGATTAAGAGCTTTACATTTTTTCTCATTATTTTATAATGGTAAAAAAAATCTGACAGCTTTTGTTGTGAATATGCCATGTTGTAAGCAAATGACATGCGCAGACGCTATCAAGGTAAGCAAGGGGAAAGCACTCTTACAAACTAGCTTTCCATCATGTCTGAACATGACTTGCTACGTTTTCTAATGGATATTATTTGATTCCTTCTTGGACGTCAAATAAAAGGGAAAAAATGTATGTTACAAACATAACTTCAGAAAGCCATAGCTCTATATAAATATATACACAGGCTTTATTCAAAACTATCTTCTGTTTAATACGTACGAAATCTGAAAGTCTAATTTCCAGAATCAAAGCTAGCACAAACGTAACGGAGAGACTATTACAAAACCAGGCTATGATGGCATTCAACCACAAGGGATGATGACTATATGACTGAAGAGATTTATCGAGGAAACCCGATTCAGCTTTTTTTTTGGGCTCCAAAGTAAATGCAATTTCATTTTGTGAAACGGACTCGAAAAAAATAATGTCGATCGTCGTACTAAAAGATATTTCTTTGCAATGTAAAATAAAATGACAGCTTGGGAGTTTCAGGGAAACCTCATTTTATTTAATCTGAGGGAGATATTCATAGTTTGTGTAGTTGAAGGGAGAGTGAGAAATTCATATAAATCATATAGTTTAGGGCAGAGATTCATAGTTCTTATAGTCTAGGGGATAGAGAAATTCATGGTTTGTGTAGTCTAGGGGAGAGAGGTTCATAGTTCCTGTAGTCTAGGGGAGAGAGAAATCAATAGTTCATGAAGTCTATGCGAGAAATTCATAGTTCTTGTAGTCTAGGGAAGAGTGAGCAATTCACGGTTCGTGTAGTTTGATGAAGAAATGAATTACTAGTTAACGTACTATGGTGGATAGAGGAATAAACAGTTCAATTCATCTAAGTGAGAGTGAGAACTTCACAGCTCATGTAGTCTAAGCATCGAGTACACATTCAATGGAACAGCCTACAGCAGTGGATCCCGTACCCTTCCACCTGCTAACGACTTCTGTTTTGTCTGTTTTGATTAAATAATAGAGAGCTTCAGATCACAAAAAAAAAAAAAAAAAACACCATGTGACATCAACGTAACAAACACAATGTCCGCTTGATACACACGGGGAAGGCCCAGAGCCATACAGACGCAACGGTTGAACTTAGTGTTAAAAGCTGCACAAGTCTGAGCAGGATGTTATAAACAAAACAACGGCTTGATGAGGCCCGGGGAAATTTCAATAAACCCGTGTTCTGTTGAGGGGAAGTGAAGGCTAGAGTTTGGACAAAAAAATCTATCTTCATTTCGTTGGTAAACTCTGACAACAGTCTCTTGGGGGGGGGGGGGGGGGGGGGGGGGGGGCGCGACTGGACGGGGGGACAGGGACAGGACGGACGACGACCTTGAAATTTTCGGGGAGGGGGAGGGGCGGAGTATATTTTCCGGGGGAGGGACGGACCCTGGTAAAGGTATATATGTTCTCTATACATTTTATTTTATTCGGGAGGGGGGGGGGGGAAAGGGAAGCTCCGCAAACTCAGGTTGGTGCGTTGGTAAATTCTGACTACTGTCTCTGTACATGTTGCCCGTATATCCTGACTACAGTATGTTGTTTCATTGGTAAAGTCTGACTACTGTCTCTTGGTTCCTTGGTAAAGTCTGACTACGGTCTCTTGGTTCGTTGGTAAAGTCTGACTACGGTCTCTTGGTTCGTTGGTAAAGTCTGACTACGGTCTCTTGGTTCGTTGGTAAAGTCTGACTACGGTCTCTTGGTTCGTTGGTAAAGTCTGACTACGGTCTGTCTCTTGGTTCGTTGGTAAAGTCTGACTACGGTCTCTTGGTTCGTTGGTAAAGTCTGACTACGGTCTCTTGGTTCGTTGGTAAAGTCTGACTACGGTCTCTTGGTTCGTTGGTAAAGTCTGACTATGGTCTCTTGGTTCGTTGGTAAAGTCTGACTACGGTCTCTTGGTTCGTTGGTAAAGTCTGACTACGGTCTCTTGGTTCGTTGGTAAAGTCTGACTACGGTCTCTTGGTTCGTGGGTAAAGTCTGACTAAAGTCTCTTGGTTCCTTGGTAAAGTCTGACTATGGTCTCTTGGTTCGTTGGTAAAGTCTGACTACGGTCTCTTGGTTCGTTGGTAAAGTCTGATTACGGTCTCTTGGTTCGTGGGTAAAGTCTGACTAAAGTCTCTTGGTTCCTTGGTAAAGTCTGACTATGGTCTCTTGGTTCGTTGGTAAAGTCTGACTACGGTCTCTTGGTTCGTGGGTAAAGTCTGACTAAAGTCTCTTGGTTCCTTGGTAAAGTCTGACTATGGTCCCTTGGTTCGTTGGTAAAGTCTGACTACGGTCTCTTGGTTCGTTGGTGAAGTCTGACTATGGTCTCTTGGTTCGTGGGTAAAGTCTGACTACGGTCTCTTGATTCGTTGGTAAAGTCTGACTACGGTCTCTTAGTTCGTTGGTTCATTCCCAGTCCGGGCCAACAGAAGAACAACAGTGGAATCTGACCAATGAAATCCACGCCTCCCCCACACGTGACCTGAACAAGTTGGGCGAGTCTGAGCGTCAGGGTGATTAACTGGACATTACACGAGAGAGAAATGGCTGGAGAGGAAACACGAGGAGCCCATCAAGCCTGACCCATTCTCTCACACAGTTCCATTAGAGATGCGCTGCAAAATTTCACCGTAAAAACGGAAATGGCCGACATAAAAAAGGAGAGTTGAACACAAAAAAATGGAGAGGCGCATACAGCTAAACATGTATTAGAAAGGGACGGGGGGAGTTGTTATTTCATTAGGTGGGCTCTGCCTCGGAGAAATTTGGGAGTAAAATTAATGGGGATAGGCAAATGGAAGAAGAGTGTTAAAAGCAGTTACCTTGTTACAAAGTTTAAAAAAAAATAAATAAAAGAAGAAATTCTTAGCAACGAGTCAATATAAAATGTCAAGTACATTTTTGTTGACACGCTGTGAGAGAACCCACGCAAATAACCTTTAAGCAGACGATCATTTCAGGCATATCCGGTCACGTGGTGGGGATGATCAACCAATCAGATAAAACCCAGGTCTTTGAATAGGCAGGGAATATGGCACAATAACTCAACATCGAAGAACAGGTCACTGAGCGTATCTTTACGATTATAATAATAAAATATATATCACCTGTGCTTTTAAAGAACATTTATATAATGATGCCACATTTTAAAATTAAATCAAGGATAAGGCGTCAACCCCCCCCCCCCTCCCCACTCAATGGATTTACATCGTTTGTTACTATGACAAGTATCACCAACCGTTTATATATATCATTCAAAAAGCAAATAGAACACGTTTCTACATGCATTTCAATAGCAGGTGGACGAAATTAGCTACGGTTAATGCTGCTAGTACAGAGAGTCGCGTCTAATTCATCATAATTAC